CAGGATGCTCGATCTTGCAGCACTGGAGTGAGTGAAGAAAAATCTGCGGAGAAGTTCTTTTATACAGCTTCGATCGATGCTTGATCGCGAGAAAGCTTTTCACCGCCTGCGCAACCTGGCGGTGTATCCGCAAGCTCGTAACTTGGCAGGAGCCCTGCGGCGCGTAGCGGCGCCGCGGCGTATTATGCCGCGTCAGTGTAGCGGTGTGGCGGTGAGCCGCCACAGATAATATATGAGATGTATTAGACAGAAGCGTTTTTACGTATCATATACATAAATAAGTTACATATCAATGATACTTTATTGATATTTTCTGGTTATATAACAGGAAATATCAGTTACATGTGCGTTTGCTGGGAAGTATGTACAAATTATTTCAATCTCCGGTCAACTTACGTTTTATAACACAAATTCTCATTTGATTTCATTATATTGATTACAGTCCTAACGTCTTTATATACTGAACGGCGTATGCCGCCATTGCTGCAGCAGCCACCACCACCTGGTGAAACGGCTCGATGTTGAACATTATGCCCATCGCCGCCACTGGTGTTGTAACCACAGCACCCAGGGCCCCTCTCAAAATCAGAGCCTTGACATGCTCCAGCGCAACTTTGGCTGTTTTCTTTCGCACCTTAGTCCACCATATTACGGCTGCGTATGTGAGTCTGGGGCGAAGTATGGCTGTGTAGATCCAATGTATCATACTTGGTTTTAAACCCCAAGTCTGACCAAAGGTCCTTCTGCACATCCAAAAATACTGGCACAAGCTTTTGCACCGGCTACGAAGGTGCTCCTCCCAAAGCAGTTTCCTATCCAGGATAACTCCCAGATATTTCACTGATTCAGTCGGAACTAACCTTACTCCTCCAAGAGTGGGTCCCACAATGGTGCCCACGTTGTATTTGCGAGTGAAGACAGTAAGACCGATTTTCAGTGGATTCACCGCTAAACCCGTCCTCTGACACCACTTTTCTACGACTTCCAGTGCCCCCTGCATGACCTCTAGAAACGTCTTTAGAAAGGGGCCTCGCACAAGTATTGCCACGACATCCGCGTAGCCTTGTGCAGTGAAGCCTCTATCGTCCAGTGCCTTTAATAATCCGTCTGCTACCAGGTACCCTAAAAGTGGGGAAAGTACTCCGCCCTGCGGGCAGCTTCTTCCCACCCAACCACAAACTTTCGCAGTTCCCAGCGAAGTCATCACACACCTTCCTAGCATGCCCCGGATCCACTCTACGAGCTTCATCGGGACACCTCTTTTGGCGACTTCCTCACACACTACCTCGTGCGGTGTGTTGTTAAAGCGCCCTCTATGTCCAAGAAAGCACCCCCTTCCTTTCTAGCAGCTCCTTAATAAACGCTACCGTTTGAAGTAGAGCAGTCTCGGTGGAATAGCCCGGACGATACGTGTGCTGATTTTTATGGAGAGGATGCCTCCACAGAGTTGTCTTCCTCAGATAGGCGTCCACCAGCTTCTCCAATGTCTTAAGGAGAAACGATGTTAAGCTAATTGGCCTGAAATCCTTTGCCTTGGTGTAGCTCGTTCTTCCCGCCTTTGGGATGAACACTACCCTGGCCAGT